TCATGCTTTTCTAAATGAGTTGGTTTGTAAACAAATCTGGGATAAACTAAGTTAATACCACTTTAAGACAGTTGACATACCGGAAATGTTAGCTTTCAGATCATAATTGAGATTAGAAGATTTGGGTGCGCTGGTAAGTAAAGCTTTCATTACCTCAGCAAATAAGGCGTTAGTGAGGATCGGGAGACTTGCCATCTTATAATCTGCCATAGCAGTAACTACAAGCGAGCCATTTTTGAGTGAATCAACTTTACAGCCAAAAAAGCCGTCGTTGATCCTTTTGCTCTGCGCGGAAACTATCTTTATCTGGAAGAAAATTAATGTCGAAATTTGTAGAAATTGCCTAAAACTAGAATTATTATAATTTTGTTTTCTATTATTTTTAGGTTCAAACGGCAACATACAAAGTCACAAATATCTTTTTCAGCGGCGTTAAACGCAGCAGATCCGAGCGTGGCATGAGATGGCTTGTATAGAGCAGGATTTCCGGCGGAATCATAGACTTTCCCAAGCAAAGTTACGGTATATTTCCCTGTAAAGTAAAATAAAATGGGGTTATTTTACTAGCTAAATCTAATTAGTGTGGATTTGAGCAGTTTGAAAGGCAGATTCATTATACACTCTCGATAAAGAACAGAACTCACCGCCTTGAAGCGCAATTGCTAGTGGGGAAAAAGGGAGGAAATTCAGAAGCGAACCGATTAATACTCAATAATCAACAGTGAAGATAGCCAAAATAAAAAATGTTGCAAGCCTACTTGTTGCTACAGTCGAAGTTGTAGTTGAGTATTCTCTAACGGTAATCTTCACATTTCCAGCATCGGAAGTAAAATAATCTTTTGTCACAGTGTAAACTTTAACCGTATATGTTCCAGGGTCCACATCATAGAAGGAGCCAGCTATTAAAATGTGAATGAATAAAAGGGAACATTTTTATAAAGTCTTCATTCAGAGGAAGCATCTTGCAAAAGGGATTTGCAGACAAATTGATGCTCTAGAATCAAAGATTTACGAGAAGATGGATTCGGGATGACACGCATGAATAATGGCAAGGCCCTTTTGTGAAATATATTTAGAAAATATTTTTTAACCTTGACAACTGTGGGTAGATAAATGTGACTTACTTGTAGCTGCTCCGACAAGGGGCATATTTAATTTGGGATTGGGTGACAGAGTGAGTTTAAGCCAATTCGAGCAGTCGGTACCCATTTTTGGCACCTTCCATGTAGCCACCACGGTAGAAGGTAGTTCGACTGTTGCCTTCACCTCAGTGACTGGGAGGGGATCTGTGTTGTTCGAGGTGAATAAATGGATGATAATTTACATGCTCATTTATAAAAAGGGGAAGTTATGCAAATCTTCTGTTTTTTCCTCTGGCTAACACTATCCCACATTGAATAAAGGTACCCGATTCCAACCGGAATAGAAGAGCATGTTGAAACATTCTTTCGCAATTGCTGTCCGCAATTACGTCGGCTAGCCGCCTTTCCGCCAATTAATCATACTTTAGGGAACACACTCAGAGGGAAAAGAGGCTCTTTACAAAAAGATCGTCTTGGTGACTGGCGGAAGAGTGTGGGCAGTTTGAGAAATGGGTGAAGAATATTAGACTTACTAGTTACTTTGGTTATGGAAACTGCGGCTGAGATTTCATTGCTGGCTGAAGTCCCTGTCAAACTAAACTGGTAGTTAGTGCACGCTGTTAGCCCTGTCACCGTTGAATTCGTAGCATCGTTTGTTAGGGCTATCAAAGTTCCTGATTTTGTCGCGGTTGCAGTCAGGGTTTGTCCAGTATAGGGGGTGGCTGGAAGTTTCCAGGTAAGTGTTACAGTTGTATCGGTAAATGAGCTCACGGTGAGATCGGTTTGGGAATCTAAACCAGGGATGAAGTAAATAACTCTTAAAGTGGAGAAACTATTGCATATTCTTTTATTTCATTCTATTGTCAAAGCAATGATAATCTCAT